CGTTGTAAGTCTGCAGACATACCGCTATGACACAGGTGAGGGGGGTAGCTTCTGAAAGTGTAGAGCATCTTCAGAGGCATATCGCGACTCGAACATTTGATTTTTCGATTTGCAGACACGCACGCTAACCATAAGGCCACGCCCAGCCCCTCTAATTTACAACTTAAAACGTTTGTTTTAGATCAGCACCCAAGCACTACACAACATAAGAAATAAAACATGTTAACGGACTTTCTTTAACTAAAACAGAGCCAGTTTGAATAAACTGAAATAATACATTTTTATAAATTATGCATTACTATCAGAAATTTTTATAAGTTTTTTTTTCTCTCTCTTGAAAGTACTCGTTAACCTAAACAATAAAATTACCGATAAACCAAGTTTAGAAGGAGATTTTGTTTTTCAAAGTCCTCAGTATGGTTTAGTGCGATGCGACGAAAAAATGAAACCAAATCGAACCCTTTCAAAAATAAGTTGTTTTTTTTCTTCGCTTGGAAACTTTTTGTTTTTGTTTTTAATGTAGATCAACGTAAACTTATTTGTTGCTGTGCATACTTAGTTCTGCCCCAGTTAACTTCTTCCGCTTATAAAGTGTGTATTATGTTTTAAATGAGATTTATATTTTTTAAACAAATTTTGAATAGGGCGCGTGTGTATCCACGACCTGTTACTCAGACGAAATGTCACTGTGTAACCTGATCATTCGATTTCAGAGAAGCGTGTTTGCTGTACAAGAAATAAGCCGTCTCATTGGCTGCCAGTTGACGTGTTTTCATGGCCATTAGATAGGCCTCATTCAGCGTTTTGACATAGAACAGTATTAAAGCAATATCAATTGCTAATGAAAATATTTTTGATAATAATAAAAAAAAAGCTTCATTTTTCAGTCATACCACTGTAGTTAACTGTCAAGGGAATGTCGCGGTTTTGAACAAGTGAGAACATTAGAAATAAATAAGGTTTTTGTGATTCAAACATAATTAAATAAATTATACTTTATATTCTCACTTCTACCAACTAGTCCAGCAGATGTGTAAAAATCGTGACCTTAGTGATAACAACATGAAATTTGGCACACAGTTAATGCAGGTCCTAATATTTGTTTGCTAGTTGTTAACTGCAAAGCTACACAATGGACTATCTGTGCTGTGCCCACCATGGATAGTGAAACCCGGTTTTTAGCGTTATAAGCTTTCAGGCTTACCACTGAACCACTAGGAGGCTTAGCGCTTAACAACAAATAAACAAATTAACTGGTAATGTTTTTGTATTTTTTTAAATATGGCTGCCACGTTCGTCATGGTACAAACCTGCTTTAATACAATGGGTTATCTGTGCTGTGTGCTCACCACGGGTATCGAAACCCGGATTTTAACATTACAAGCCTTTAGACTTGCCGCTGAGTCAATGGGGGCCTAAGGGCTAGTAGCGAAGTTATGTGTTTCGAGTGTTTGGGTTGCGAACGTCAAATATTGGTGTTATATCAACTTTTATCCATTTTGACGTGTCAACAAAATGTCAAACAAGCTAAAATCAACTGACTTATACAACCTAGTTATTAAGATACTTGGCTAATAATAAAATATTTGGTACACACTTAAACTTCTGTCTGCACTAGTTGCAAATCTATTCAGAATCAAATAAACCACATCACGTGCAATACAGGCGCAGAAGAAGAGAACGTACTGGAAGTAAGTAGACGGCACTGTCCAAAAGCAAACACAACAGGATGGTAAAGTATCTATAAATGGTTCTTTTTTTCCCACAGCCACAATTTTCTGCTGCCGCCGGCCGAATGGTCAGATGCCTTTGTTACCTCTCCCTAAAGCATCTGAAGTAAATTATTAGTAAAGATGCCCCCCCCCCAAAAAAAAATACGTTCTTTAAATTCACAGTGACTGCGCGTGTAAATGAGTAGATAATAGATGCCTGTTTAGACTCACATTATATATTGGCCTACATAAATGTATTTTATGTGAAGTGTTTGTAATATTTATTTTACAGCAGGTTAAATACTTTTGTTATTAATAATCGTAATTTAAATCACGTGCAATGTAAAATGAATTCTGCTAGATTGTTTAAACAAGTGAAACTTGTTTTTTAACCAAATTATATATATATATATATCATACCCATATAACTGTTATATAGGTACCAGTAAGTCGTAATACTTCTATTTACTATTTATATATGTATGTATGATATAGATACATTTTTCCAGTTTTTTGATACATCAACAACAGAGAGCTTCTATACTTAACTTTTTATTTTATCTCTGTAACATTACTATATCTCCAACTTTGTAACGTGGTCATGCAATGTTTATTTTGACGGAAACAAGACAATGGCCTCGACGGCGAGGATCCTAAACAACGCCGAAAGAAGCAGCGACGTAACCGGACTACGTTCACGGCTCAACAGTTGAGTGCCTTAGAGAGAGTGTTTGAAAAAACCCATTACCCGGACGCCTTCGTTAGAGAGGAATTAGCAAAGAAAGTAAACCTCAGCGAAGCTCGAGTCCAGGTACGTGAATAAACACCATGCTATTACGTACATAAGATAATAGAAAATTGTACCGCGTTTCTCATTCGATTATGTGGCACTATCAGTATCAACCTAGTAACAGCATTTATTTTACACACATGGGGCACTAAAAATGATGATGAATATAAAACCCTGGGACAGGCCTGAGAAATACACCATCCCCCAAATACAGTTTTGTTTACTTTTACACTATATTTGTAGCCCAACTATCGGGGTCCACTGGGCTATAAAATAGCTACAATTTTCATGTTTTTTTGTTTTTTTTTACCGCCAGTGTTATAATGTAATTTAGGAGCCACATTAATGAACTGTTTTCTAATTTTTTAATTTCCGAAATTATACTTATAACGCTTTATACTTATATAATTTTTCCCCCCTTAAGAAACGTTTAGTTTGTTTGCTCGTTTTGAATTTCGCGCAAAGCTACACGAGGGCTATCTGCGCTAGCCGTCCCTAATTTAGCAGTGTAAGACTAGAATGAAGGCAGCTAGACATCACCACCCACCGCCAACTCTCGGAGTACTCGTGGGGGCGTTATAAAGTGACGATCAATCCCACTATTCGTTGGTAAAAGAGTAGCCCAAGAGTTGGCGGTGGGTGGTGATGACTAGCTGCCTTCCCTCTAGTCTTACAATGCTAAATTAGGGACGGCTAGCGCAGATAGCCCTCGCGTAGCTTTGCGCGAAATCCATAACAAACAAACAAACTTTCCTGTTAACTGCATAATACTCAACACTCATTAAACCTAACTATGCTTACCTGATGTCCTGTAATTGAAAATAAAACCATTTTTCTAAATGAAAAGAACGTCTAAAGAAACTATAAAAAATTTCCAATTATGTGGTTTGTTCCTAAATCTTCTAAATTTCTTATCAGATTCCTTTTGTTCATCCTTGCAGGCATTAGGAGCCACTTTCCGAGAAAATCATAAATTATTAATCAAATCACATTACTTATCCTACATTGGCATAAAAAGTTTATAACATTCTCTATTTGGTCGTGTTTAAATATTGGCTATACCAATTTTCAAAACTGTGCTTCATTATTAATTTTTAAAACTACGTGATGCGACATAAAGGGGGGGGGGGAATTACGTGAGAAACAAGGCAAGGATAATGACAGTGTCTTAGCAAATATAAACCCATATGGACAGGATGGACAGATTTTTGTTTTCAATCGATAAATACCTTGGTTACGTCCGGCATGGCCAGGTGATTAAGGCGCTCGACTCGCAATCTGCGACTCGCGGGTTCGAATCTCCATCACACCAAATATGCTCGCCCTTTTAGCCGTGGGGGCGTTATAAGTTACGGTCAATCCCACTATTCGTTGGTAAAAGAGTAGCCCAAGAGTTGGCGGTGGGTGGTGATGACTGTTTTTGAATTTCCCTTGGGGGGAAGGTCAAACAGTCCGTTCGTATGACATTTCAAGTTTGACATTGTTTTGTACAAGACTTAAATATTCCGGAGAACAGAAGAAAACAAAAATCTATTGGAGATGAAAAATCACGAAAACCAAAAATGAATACAAAACTAAACACGTCTCTTGACTCAAACACGAATAAAGCTTTAGTTACTGCTAGTTAGCAGATGAAAGACCAAATATTTTGGTTTTGAATTTCGCGCAAAGCTCCAAGAGGGCACTAGCCGTCCCTAATTTACCAGTGAAAGGCTAGAGTGAAGGCAGCTAAACAAAAGCCTTGATTAGAGCAATGGGAGCTATATAAAAAATAAAAGCTAGAAATTGTTTTCATTTTTCTTTGCCAATTACACCAAATAAATGTTGTCGAGTTATAAAATGTGAATTATATAATATCAACCAGCAAAAATGGTTGTATCCGGTTTTCAGAACTTTATATGTCCTCTGGTGATTCAGCGGTAAGTTTATGGTCAACGCTGTCCCCCGGATCTTCCAACTTTTCTGGAGAATTTAACATTTCTCTGATTCACCAACATCTATGCATCAGTAAAAACTTTCAAAACACAAAAGAATATTGTCTTTCTCCAGCTGAGTAGCAGGTTTAATTTTAGCAAAATAGTAATACCGGTTAGTGAATCTCATCTTTCTTAGATGCGATCTGAAGCGATAGGGTTATTCATGTAAGTCTTTACAGCCTTTTGTTTTCATGGCTGTAGTTAAATATATTAATATTTCTTTAATTTATTACAGATATTTTAATTCAGTTTTAATTCAGATCTGATAGTGTCACAGGACACCGGCACAAATGTAGAATCTTTTTTTTTAGGGCAAGTCCCTGTTTTAATAACTGTTTATTGTGTAATTATTTTAACGTTGTATTCCTTTTAATTGTACATACAGATGTTTTACACAAGTGTCGTTTTAAATTATATGTAGTCATTTTTTAGGGCAAGTCCCTGTTTTAATAACTATTTATTGTGTAAGTATTTTAACGTTGTATTCCTTTTAATTGTACATACAGATGTTTTACACGAGTGTCGTTTTACTTAAAATTACTTAAAAGGTTGATATTCATCTCTGTTTGTTTGTAATTAAGCACAAAGCTACACAATGAGCAATCTGTGCTCTGCCCACCACGGGTATCGAAACCCGAATTATAGCGGTGTAAGTCCGCAGACATACCGCTGTGCCACTGGGAGGGGGGATATTCATCTGCTTCTCCGATATAAATTCGTCCATACAGTGTACAGAATAGTCTATAATTAGCATTTTTCATTTTAACTTGCATATATATATTGTCCGGTCCTGAACTGTACACAATCCAGCTTTTACACGAACGGGGAACAGGATAAAACGCCGATTTAACAAAAGAAGTGTTTTAGATGTAATAGCCGACGTTTCCACAAATTTCACATTAAAATTATCGCGCTTTTAGGATTTCTTCTTCTTTAAACTCTACGATTTAGGTTGTCCTTCTAATGCCATTCTTATTTTTTGCTTTGCTCGTGGTGCGTATCTATTTTGCTGCAGCTGTTCTCTTAATTTATCTATACTTTTTTTGTTCAGTAGCATTATCAGAAACGTTACGACAAGCTCGCAACAAATCCGAGGAAACAATCGTATATTTTTAATATCCACGAGGCTCTGGGTTCACCATTCAGTAACCTAAATTAATTTCGGTGTGTGAATAATATTACGGTATTAGCTGCCAGCATTGCGCCCAATTTATTATTTCCGATATTATACAGCGGTTTGTTTGTTTGCAATTAAGCACAAAGCTAAACAATGGGTTATCTGTGCTCTGCCCACCACAGGTATCGAAACCCGGTTCCTAGCGTTGTAAGTCCGCAGACATACCGCTGTGCCACTGGGAGGCGAACTTTTAAAATATAAGCACTTGAATAACAATACTAAAAAGTTAAAGCACCGAGATTCACATGCGAAAAAGTTTGTAATATTTTCTTTTTAAGGACATAAAGGAATTACGAAACTTAAGCTACGTTTTTGAACTTCATATATAATGTTTATCTACATAATAATTTTTAGAAGCCTTCAAAATGGTTGTCTCTAGTATTAATAATATTAGGTCTTCACGTAATTCCTGCCCCCCAGTTGCACAACGGTATGCCTGCGGACTTACAACGCTAGAATCCGGGTTTCGATTCCCGTGGTGGGCAGAGCACAGATAGCCCATTGTGTAGCTTTGTACTTAATTACAAACAACAAGTTCAACATGATCTATTCCACAAGTCTTTTTTTTTAATATAAGATTCAAGAAATCAATTGTGTGTTTTAAAAAAGATTGTTATACAGCAGGCCAACTGTTTAATGATTGTATTACAGATTGCATTTCTATTACCAAAGGTAAAATTAGAAATTCCCCCCGATGGGGCAACAGTAAATCTACGTACTTACAACGCTAAATTCTGGGGTTTGATTCCCAGCCCAATTTAGCTTTGCTCTAAACAGAAACAAACAAATAAAATTGAAAATATAATTTGTGACTCAAAAAAATACAAAACATAAATATTATACATACACATACATCTCCATTACAAGAGGCCTAGCCAACTGTATTTCTTTGGCTTGTTGGACCAAGCTGTGCTGATGAGTCTTGAATGGACGAAACTCCAGTCCACAGCAAGTCATTTTCGGTTTATGTTTTAGTGAAACGCTCCTGAAGAAATTGTAAAGCGAAACGTTGAGTACCTAATTAAATGAAAACAACAATTTGGTCTTATAAAGTCGTTTATTCGTAGTATTAATATTCATTTAATTTGTTCTTGCCAGCATTAAATTGTATACATTTAGCTCTTGATTCTTGAGTTGGATTTTCAGTTAATTTTGCATGCGCAAATAAATCATTATTAAGCATAGTCTCGGTCTTGTTCATATATTCTTAGTGGCCATTAGTGCAAACCTTTATCAGGCGATTTAACAGTGATTTTGCTATCATTTTTAATTTATTTATAGCAAACAATTCTTTTTTTTTTCTCGTTATGCTATACGACTTGTTTATTTTATTAGGTGGTAATCTAGCTGGGATTATGAAGTACAAGATATATATATATAATATTTACAAATAACTAATTGATTAACTGAATATAACATGAAATATCTATAAAAATTATATATATATATTACTGATATGTTTGGAAAACGTTTAAAACAAGTATTATACCGTGAGAGTTCTAATATATTTTCCATATCAACATCAGTATTGTTGCTGAAATCTCGTGTTTTCTCGAACGTGTTTTGAGAAAGGTTTGTTTGTTTGGAATTTCGCGCATAGTTACACGAGGGCTATCTGCGCTAGCCATCCCTAATTTAGCAGTGAAAGACAAGAGGGAATGCAACTCTTGGGCTACTATTTTAGCAGCGAATAGTGGGATTGACCGTCACATTATAACGTCCCACGACTGCAAGGGTGAGCATGTTTGGGTGGGACGAAGATTCGAATCCGCGATCCTCAGATTGCGAGTCGAGCGCCCTAACCACCTGGCCATGAGAAAGAGGAAACACATTTCTAACAAAGAAAAGACGTATTGAGCTAACTAGGGAATAAAGTTATTAATTGTTTGAAAATACTTTGAAACATTCACAAATAGCTGTGAACATTTATTCTAACCTACTTCATGAGTACAGTGACGTGCACCTTAATTAAAACGGGTAATTAGGGACAAATTATATTTCAAGTAACTGTATTTTTAACTTCACAAAAGGTGTTAGATGGATTGTCACAGAGTTTTCATGGTATTAACTTTAATATTTAAACTCTCAATGTTTCTGTTTGTTTGCTTTAAAGCAACGGCCACATTGGGCTATCTACCGTGTCCACCTCGGAGAATCGAACCCTGAAATTTAGCGTTGTAAGTCCGTAAACTTACCGTTGTCTCATTGGGGGGGGGGGGGCTAAGTTCTTATTTAAACGCAATACTATTTTCAAAAATAATGTAGCTTGCTTTTTATAATATTTAATTTGTATAATATATGATATGTATCTCTTGTGTGTGTGTGTGTGTTTTCTTATAGCGATCTGCTGTGTCCACCGAGGTGAATCGAATCCCTGATTTTAGCATTGTAAATCCGAAGACTTACCGCTGTTACACCGGGGGACTTACCTCCTTTTATCATATCTAATATGTATAAGGTTACACCTGTTTACCCCTTTTTATCATATCTAATATATGTAAGGTTACATCTGTTTACCCCCCCCCTTTTATCATATCTAATATGTTTAAGGTTACACCTGTTTACCCCCCTTTTATCATATCTAATATGTTTAAGGTTACACCTGTTTACCTATTTTTCAAAACCTTTGGTGTCTGGTAGATGTTTTATATCTATTATTGTCAAATTTTTCAAAACCTTTGGTGTCTGGTAGATGTTTTATATCTATTATTGTCAAATGTGAGATTAGGCATTTTCATTTTGTATCTTTCAATTTGGTTTTCACGTGTACATTTGTGTCTGTCTTATCGACCTCTTGTAGTTGCAGAAAGTAGGGTAGTTTTGTATAATAATAATAAAAGGCGGTCGTTCTTGCGTGACATTAATATGGCAATATTGTGGCTCTTGTGGTTATTTTTATTTTCCTTTATTAAAACATATTTTCGTTGTTCCTAGATCTGTATTGGAAAAAAAAAAAAGAACTTCAGGTAATTCTGATTAGGGACACGTGATAAATTTAAAAAAAAAATCCGGACCTTATGATGTTCCCATGAGATCCAGTTGGGTTACAATAGGGTCACCTATCCACTAATTGTATTCATCTTCAACCCACAGCTTGAGAACTGAGAGCCATGGATGTGTCGTCATTTGGAAAAATGTTTCCCTAACCACCCCGTTTTACGGTAATCGAGACATTCAATATGTCTCCCAGTAAGTTATGTAATAACTAATCAAGTTATTTTAGGGAATTTCGTACATTCTTATTCAGTTCGTTTTCCCTTTTTCAATGGAAAGAATTAACCTCACCATTCATATAATACATAGTTGAACATTTTCGTTTGGCGAAAGATGTTATTGTGCACTAAATCCTGCCTTAAGGCAGAACTATCAGAGTAGAAAGTTTAGATCTTAGGAACGCTATGCAGTCACCGACATTCATATGGATAGAACATGTGCTCCCAAATTCTCGACAAAACTAAATGAGGCGTGTGTCACTTGGCCACTTAGAAGCAGAAGGTCATACAAATTTGGAGTTTTTATTAAACTAACGGTCGCGTGGGGTACGTAAGGAGACAAGAGTATGATACTTCTAAACCGAAACCGGAGACTGATCTCATCTGGACCAACCGTCTCCTAGTCAACAACATGTGTATAGCTTCTTCTTTTACCGCCAACCCTGTCAGCAGCCGTTCCAGTCCAACGACAATGTGACAAGAGCACCTCCTGGCAGTTTTGGCTTAGCAAAAGATAACCCACGAAATCAATTTCCGCGCCGTTCTTTGCTCTAGTTGAGGATACAAATATATCATTTACTTTACCTTTCTGACTTACAGACATTGATATAAAACATACATAGGAGCAAGGAGATGTTAATTTATTCTTTTTTGTTGTTGTTAGTTTGTTTAAGATTTGACAGCCATCATCAACCTTAGTCTAAATTACTTCAAGTATGCAAAAAAAAAAAGAAAAAGATAAATGAACACGATTCACGTCTTTAAAAATGAATAAAATACAAATGTTTGTTACTTTTTTGGCAAAGTTTTATCATCTTTTTGCAATGCAGGTGTGCCTTTGTCATTGTGCGTAAACGCAGAAAGACGAAACACAAGCTTAAGCGTTGAGTATTTTCTGTAATAATTAGTACTGAAACAGGTTCTGGCAGTATAACTGTAGACTGGTGTAAAACCAAACAAAATGTCTTATATTTATATTAGTCACCAATAGGAAACATATGAGACACAGTATTTGTATATGTATAGTTCCTTTTGCACTTTTTAGAGCCTTTTTTAAAAACGAACAAACATGATTTGGTAAAAAAAACATACGTTTTAAATAATATTTATGGTTAGTTTTGCAAAAAAACAACAACACTTTTATGATAGTTAATATCAGATATGCATTTAGTTTTTATAGAAGAGTAAAATATATAGTTATAATAAAGTTACAGCAAGCTTTAAAGCAAGGGGGAAAATATAAGTAAAAACTTAGACATTTCTCAAAATATGTTAGGCTAAACACTCACTTTAACATGTTGACTGACACTAATAGAAATGCAGATATTTTGCTAGTAACAAAGAAGCATTGATGTTATGAATTTCGCGCATAGCTACCCGAGGACTATCTGCGTTAACCGTCCCTAATTTAGCAGTGTACATAGCAGGTAGCCCAATGTGTCTTTGCTCTAAAGAGAACAAACAAACACGAAAATAGTTAGCTTTTGTATTTTCATTAAGGTCCCCAGTAGTACAGCGGTAAATCTGTTCGATTGTAACGCTAAAAACCGGGTTTTGATACTCGTAGTGGGCAGAGTACAGCTCATGATGTAGCTTTGTGCTTAACAAAGAATCAGTTTTTACTGATATACGTGTCATTTATAGTTTAAACCTTGTTCCTCTTTTATTTTTCCCAACAAAGCACAAATGTGCCTTGTTTCTTTAGACATTGATTTATTATGGTGGGATTTAAGTGTCGAGGATTTGTACAATCTGACGTACGCTCTAATTTCGAAACCTTTGGTGGAAATAAATTACCAAAATCAAAACAAGATCCCATCAGTTTCATATTACTCAAATTTCAAAATCATTTCTCAGAGTTATACCCGAGTTTGTGTGTTTTCTTATAGCAAAGCCACATCGGACTATCTGCTGTGTCCACCGAGGGGGAATCGAACTCCTGATTTCAGCGTTGTAAATCCGAACACTTACCGCGATTTTAGTTAAAACTTTTACAAGTGGTAAGGACTTGAAGTGTGATGAAAGTATAATGTCATGAATACGTATTTTTAAATGATTCTTAGTCATTGAATGTCATTTTTAAAGCGTAGGAAGGGGGGGGGAAGACATATAAAATTGTTTTACAACACGTTAAAACTATTTTAATAGCAAAATTTTGGTCCTATTCTTTGGGCTTTTTTTTGGAATTTCGTGTAAAGCTACACAAGAGCTAGCCGTCCGTTATTTTGAAGTGATAAACTACAAGGAAGGCAGCTAATCAAATCCACCCACCGCCAACTTTTGGGCTAGTATTTACCAACGAATAGTAGGATTCATCATCACATGTATAACGCCCCCCCCCCCAAAAAAAAGCTGAAAGAGTAAGCATGTTAGAGGATGGGATTCGAACCCGCGACCCATGTCTTAGGACCGTCTTCATTATAACCATATTTTCCATAGAATATATATATATGTGTGTGTGTGTGTGACAATTAGAAGTGTGACTTGTATGACACGTCAATAATGTAAGTTAGGCGTACTGTAAAACCGTTTTGTGTCTTGCTACTGATTCTGTTCTGAGATATCACAGTAATGTAAGTTAGGCGTAGTGTAAAACCGTTTTGTGTCTTGCTTCTGACTCTGTTCTGAAATATCACAGTAATGTAAGTTAGGCGTAGTATAAAAACCGTTTTGTCTCAGAACAGAGTCAGTAGCAAGATACAAAACGGTTTTATACTACGCCTAACTTACATTACTGTATTATCTTAGAACAGAATCAGTAGCAAGACACAAAACGGTTTTATACTACGCCTAACTTACATTACTGTGATATTTCAGAACAGAGTCAGTAGCAAGACATATCACAGTAATGTAAGTTAGGCGTAGTATAAAACCATTTTGTGTCTTGCTTCTGACTCTGTTCTGAAATATCACAGTAATGTAAGTTAGGCGTAGTGTAAAACCGTTTTGTATCTTGCTATTGATTCTATTTTGATTAGTGACGAGTGAAAACGTTTTCTTACTGGTTAGGTGTGGTTCCAAAATCGAAGAGCCAAGTTTCGTCGAAATGAACGCACTATTTTAGCTCAAAGAAACCATCTCTACCACATCGGTCACGACACGACAGCTATCGAACAGCCCATCGCTCCAAGACCGACGACAACAGAATCTGGACAAGGATCTCCTGCATGTGTCGGACAGTGGAAGCCGTCGCCACCCGCTGCGTACAATCACGTGCTGGGTTCGTCACTCGCCGGAATGCCAGTTTACTCCTCCTGTGCCGTTGTCTCGGGTGCCGCCGCAGTAGGACAAGGACTGAACATGTCTGTCACGCAGCCGAACCATAATCCACCACCAACGCAATACAACTTTGGAAATCCTTTGTCATATTTCCGATTTCGCACTCAGGATTGCAGCCTTCAGACGGCGCTGTCGGGCGCACCTTAGACGATCCGGCTCTTAGTTTTCACAACATAACCCGTGCCTTAAAATTAGTTGTACTTGGCGACCGATTTTTTTTTTAAATATATAATTGAAAAGATGTGATGGATATTTGATTGCAAGAAATATCAGAAAGTATCGGACGTTCTCTTTTAGCCTACTTGTAGTTGATCAATCGTAAAAACCAACACCAGCGTCTGTGACGGAGCTCGTATACCGGTAAACGTTAATGTTAACGAATGTACATTTCAAGCAATTATGTTTTTATTATCACAAATTTGTGGGTGTCACGACAAAAAAGGAAAAGAAATTAAGAATATTCATTGAAAATAGCCTTTATTAACTAGCTGTAGCCACTAGCGTATTTTACATGCAGTAACGCGATGATTACATTATTTGAGAGACGTGGTGGTACTTCCAAACACTGACCATTTCAAAATGATTACCAGTAATAATGGAGTGGCCTGAACGACTTCTTGCTCTTCTACTTTAAACTTGTCGGATTTACTAGTGTATTTTTTCAGCGACAAACATTTTTGAAAAACTGTCATCAAATTCTGAACAACATTAATACTTTTCTTCAAGATTTTTAAAAGTATTTGCGGTTTAGAAAATAATATCCAACTGTTAATCTAATGGTTCATGGGAAGGTACTGTAAGTTTGGCTTGTGGCTCCATCTGGAAATATTGGTGTTTAATAATAACGATATTTATCACAATCGCTTTTATTTGTATAAAAAAAAATAGTGATGTATCAAAACCTGATATCGTTCTAAAAAAATCAATAAAAATATGTTTAGAACTATTAATATAGAGTGGAATATGTGTAAGATGTAACCAGGTATGTGTTATATGTAACACATCCAGTTGATTAGATTTATAGGAAAAACAACAAGTCCATAAACACATTCACAACAGCTGTAGGTCAATAACAAATGTATAGTTGTATCTATAATAACCTGGTTCAAAATTAGCAGTTACGTCGCAATGAGAGAGACCTTAGCATTTTCGGAAGGTAGAAGTAAAAACGTGGTTAAGCTGATAACAACCGGTTTAATGCACGAGTGCGTGATTTATTATAACAATTTAATAAAACATAAAACAAGTAAAATAGTGGTTAAGTTGTATAAGAACCGGTTTAATGTCACGAGTGCGTGATTTATTATAACAATTTAATAAAACATAAAACAAGTAAAATAGTGGTTAAGTTGATAAGAACCGGTTTAATGCACGAGTGCGTGATTTATTATAACAATTTAATAAAACGTAAAACAGTAAAAATGTGATTAAATTGATAAGAACCGGTTTAATGCACGAGTGCGTGATTTATTA